ATAGGAATGCTTTAAGCATGACAATACATGAATAATTAATACACATGTAAAGCCATACTGAAAGTAGGTGAGGTGAGATGAAATGGGGTTTACATCACGTACCATGCCACAGTTTAATATGGATAGCCCGATCATACACAGTATACTGCCTCCGAGCCGACCAGTCCTTGCTTTATTCCATTAACGCCATGCAGGATCACAACAAGTACCATCTTGTACATCTTTTGGTATGATTCGGTCAGGGATCAAACCACGGACCTGCTGTCCACCGGGAAGATGCTCTCTATTCACTACACCACAGAAGCGGTCCCATACTGAAAGTTTGTTTAATGCCGCACTCAGCAATATTCCAGCTATATGATGTCGGTCTGTTAATAATTGACTCTGGAACAGACAATCCAGGGATTGATGTCATGAGCATCTATCTATGCAATTGGGATACAATGGTATGCATCAACCATGTCAGCAAGTCTGACCACCCGATCACGTTAGTCGCCGCTTTAAACATGCATGGTCGCCAGTTACGGCAAGCATGGGTTGTTGAAGACCTATTCTAATCCAGATCTTGCCCGTCTTCAAAGTTACCTGCCCTCATTCAGATATTTTAAATATTGGAAAATCATGAAAAATGAGAACCAAATTGCGTCTTGATTCAGTTGAAATAATGCTATCAATTACTTGAGAATCTACAAGAAGTTATAATAAAGCTGAATACATAAGTTGGCTTAAAATCATCAGCCAGACAGTCAGGTTGATAGAGGAAAATGACAGAGAAGTCAATTATTTCAGACACAGATGCCCACGTATCCTGGTTGTTTGTTGTTTAACGCTGCACTCAGCAATATTCCAGCTATATGACGGAGGTCTGTAAATAATCGAGTCTGGACCAGACAATCCAGTGATTGATACCATGAGCATCTATCTACCTTGATCTATGCAATTGGGATACGATGCTGCATGCATCAACCAAGTCAGCAAGTCTGACCGCCCAATCCTGTTAGTCGCCTCTTACGACGCATTGTCGTCTTTTACTGCAAGCATGGGTTGCTGAAGACCTATTCTACCCCGGATCTTCACATATCCTGAGGAAGACTAGGTCCATAGACCCTCAGCAGCATTCCAGCTATCACAGCCGTGTGTCATTTAGTTAATTATCAAGTCTGAACCAGTCAAATCTGTATTCTGTATCATCAGCAATGTTCCATGTCGTTTGAGTACAATGCTATTCAGTCAACCAAGTCTGAACAACCAATCTAACTTGGTGACCTGTCAAGACAACAATAGAATAATGGAGTTCCCATTTAGGCAAACTTAATTACCTTATGTCTACATTAGGTTATTCTGAGGTGGGTGAAATAGAGAATCTCACCTTTGTGTCTTTTGATGAGATTTTATTTATCATCCAACATCATTCTTCCAACATCTTCAGTTTGTTGACAGTATTAAGCAGTGTCTTAAGTGTAAAAAGTACTTCAGCTTCAGTAGCAGAGCCATTAGTGAAGACATTTGATTGTGAATCATGGTAACCAATTTCATTGCAACGATATCTACAATGTAAATTGCACTTGTGTGGGGCTGCTTGTACTAGTCTGAACTAATGCCAGTTTTATTGCTAACTCACTACCATATGCTGCAGTTTAACATGGACACACCACTCAGACACAGTATACTGACAGAGCACCTGGCAGGGTAACAAGAAGTACCATCTTTTGACGTCCTTTGGCATGACGTGGCCACAAACTTTCCACTCCTCACGCAGACAGGATACAAGACATGATAATACATGTATCCCCATTAGGATTGTGCAAAAGATTGCCCACAGTTGCTATGTGAAGCTCAATATGGTTATGTTTTTTCTGTTGCACTGTTTACTGAGGGTAAATGTGGTAAATGAAGACGCCCATGGTTTTTGGTGCTGTGTATATACCATGGGTTGTTATAGCTATTTATTCACTGATTCATCGTTTACTTCTACTCAGCATGCGATGTACAGCTCTGAAGAGGAGATTGATCTGATCACAATCTGCACTCAAGAAAGTTAGGGATGATTCATGACTAAATTATGATTCCAAGATGTAGTATATTTCTCTTTTGAGAGTTGATGTGTTTTCTATTGAGAATACTTTATTGTGAGCTGTTTTCAAGGTGCTGATCTGTGTCATGTCGCCTAGAGGTGTGTGTGTTTTCTTGTTACACGGAGTACCTGGGTTCACACTGTGGACTGATCATCCCTACAGTATTAAAATTATGGGCGAGGGTTAAGGGAGATATACATATATATGTTTCATGTTTCAGCTTTATCTTCAGGGAGAAGTGATTACAGTTACAGAAAACTATTACTATGTCATGACATCACAATGACAATCACATTGACCATGTTGACATCAAAATCCGTTTTATTATTTTGCGAATTAATTTACATATGTGCTACTGTACACCAGTGCATCGCACTACACACACACACACTACTCAAAAGAAACTGAAGAACGCCCGATTAGTTACAGTATGAAAAGACTTGGGTGTTCTTTGCCTTCTTTTGATTAGTATTCAAGGCCCCTCTTGATGTTTGCTACTAAAAATGGTCTTATCACTTGTACTCTTGTTTACCAGTGTCATGTGTAGGTGCAAAGATGTATGATTGTAGCTGATAGTAAATATTTTCAACCCTCCTTAAACTATGACTTGTGCTTATTAGCCATGTTAGGACTCAACAATTTTTGAGAGTTGTCAGTGGCCCAGTCAGGTCTTGGACATTGTGACCTGTCATGCACTGTAACTGCCTGTATAAAGGATTTGGTGAAAAAATGTTTTATATTTACTAACACATCCATGGTTATTTTATCACCCACCACAAAGAGGAAGGGGGATATAGGAATAGGTGCTGTCAGGCCGTCCATCCTTCCATCCTGCCATCATGTTCCGTTTCAGGAGCGTGACTCGGAAACCGTTTAATATTTTATTACAAATCTTTGCATATGTATTAAACACATGCTGAACTGGTGCCTTTTGATGTTTTGGTATTGTTAGAAAAACTTTGCTGTGTGTTTCCATGGCAACAAACTGGACCTAGACTCAAATACATGTAGCATTCGTTTCTGGAGCATTACTCTGAAACTGTTTAATATTTTATTATGAAACTTTATGTATGTATCAATCATATGCTGAACTGGTGCGATTTGCTGTTTCCATGGCAACAAGGTGGACTTAGCCCAAATTCAGGTTGCTTTCATTTCCAGAGTGTAACTTAAAAACCAGATGGGTTGTAGTGTTCATTTCTAGATCATGTGTCCATAATTATTTTATTTTACTTAGTGCAAAGAGGCTGCAGTGAGGACAAGTTTTCTCAGGAACTGCTGAAGTTACCCTGAATGAAACTTTGCATGCTCTTCTGAGTTAGAAAATTTTATGCTGTAATCATGGTAATTATTTTTTCCGGAATTGCCCTACCTTCTCCATGCTTCAGATTTTGTGCATCCAGTTTGCAGTGCATGCTTTAAGAAAATCAGCAGTGAGGTAAACACCTCAAATTCTGCCCCATGGTGGGGGATAGTGATAACGCTGTTTTCTTGCTCTTTATTTGGTATTATGATTCGTCTGATTGATGATTAAGAGTAGGCAAGATTAGGCTGTCTGATGATTTAGAGTAGGCATGCAATTCTTTAGTACTGGTATAAACTGATAACAATTGTGCAAAGAGGTGACAATATCCATAATAATTCCACAGACCATAGGACCAGAGGTGCTGATTTTCCCATTAATTCTTCTTGCTCAAGGTAATCCTGTATAGAATTTAGGGTACGGTAATGTAGATCCGTTGCCCGTCTGCAGGTATATAGGCTACACACAGATGACATTTTCTGGATGTCTGGGGCATTCGGGAAAGTTGGACAGTCCTTTTGAAACATGGAAAGACTCCATTAACAGAAGTGTGCTCTGTCTTCTCACGCCATTTTATAAATAAAAGACTTCGTAAACAGGAGCATCTGCCGTTTACTCACGCCTTTTTAAAAAATGAAATGACTCCGTCTGCTGTGTAATGACGAGGTTTTGAACAATGAAACGTCTCCATAAACAGGATTGCTATGTAATGACACCTTTTTGAAAAATGAAATGATATCCAAGAAACTAACTGATGTACAGGCCTTATTATTTGTAGTATGCTGATCTTAGATAAATTACGGAGGCACAATCGCAGCATAGGCCTCGCTGTGGACAGTTTCAGGTAAGGCTGCCATCTTGATACAGCTTTCCTGCAACTTCATAAACGCTTAAGCTTGTGCAGTTCTTTGAATATTTTCAATTTGTAATCCTCAGTGGCTCTGTACTGTCACCTAATTTCAATGTGCCATTATCCGTAGTTCCTCTGTAGTTTCTCAGTAGTGTTGGGGAGTTATATTGGCATTCTCAAAGCCGATATTTGGACCCGAATCTGCAGCAACTGTTGGTGAAAATTCCCTAATTGGAATGTTTCAATTAGCAGTTCAAGTTACCGGCTGTTATGATGTTTAGATTCAAATTTAAAAGCTTTGTAAAAACGGTCTTGTTTGACTTGACAAATGCAATATTAGAATACCTCTGCCTTTTCCCAAAATTTGGACAAACAACCTGTCATACCTATGTTCATGATTTTCACCAAAGTTATTTGTTAGTTTGTTGTTTAACACCAATATTTCAGCGATATGACGACAATCTGTAAATAATCGAATCTGGACCAGACAATCTAGTGATTGACATCATGAGCATCGATCCATGCAATATGGAATTGCTGGAGACCAATTCTAACCCAGATCTTTACGGGAATTCACTAAAGTTGTAAACAACTATGACCTGCAGTGCTTAGGGATTTTTTTCTACACTGTGTTGTTGTGCTGTGATATAACTAGAAAACTGTTCATCACTAGTGATATATTTTCTTGCTCTGACGCATGCTTTGTGGACTGTTCATGCCCATGTGTTGTGAGGAGTTAGTCTCATGTTTGCAGTGTTATTCTCTGTTACAGGTCCAACAGGCTACAGTATGAGTAAGTATTCTCACTTCCTGATATACCTGTTCATACACTCCATGCACTTTTAACAGGTATGCACAAGCATGTATATACATGTATATATACACTGCTAATGGATGCTACCTGGGCAATATGTATCAAGTGACACACCATTACTTTGTTGATATCATATGTATGTCATGATGACTTTCATTGAACAATAAATGCCTTGTCAACTTTGTTCCTATCGATACTTATGGCAGTGTGTGGCTAGGCCTTGACAGTCAAATTAAGTTTATGAGAATAAACAGTTTGATGTCACAAAAAATTCTCATGTCTTCTTGTCCAGCATGGAATTTTATTAAAACATGTAATGTAGTAATAGACAGCCTTACTTAATGACACCCCAATTTTTGTGTAAACCCTCTCCCATCCTGATTTCTCAAATGCATCCTCCAAATGCCCTCCCTCTCAAAAGTCAAAAGTCCCCGAAGGCATCCCCCAACCAAATATACACCCCCCCCCCCCCCCCCCCCCCACACACACACACACACACACACTAATGACCCCTAATGCATCCTCCAAATACCTTCCCTTCCCCGATGTCCCCCAATGCATCCTCCAAATACCCTCCCTCCCTAATGTCCCCAGTGCATCCTTCAAATACCATCCCTCCCTAAAGTCCCAAAATGCATCCCCCAAATACCCTCCCTCCCTAAAGTCCCAAAATGCATACATATTTTTGTGTGTATGGATTTCTACAGTAACGGTGGCTAAAGGTTAGTTCATTTCCCTGAATGGGTACAATGTGTAAGCTCATTCCTTCTGACAGCCATGGCAGGTTGCTGTACTAGTACTGTTGTTGAGAATGTGAAGGTGTCTCTAAATTGGAACTTGAGAGGCTGCATAGCCACATCCTTCTCAATGCCTTTTTGATGATTGTGATTCTAAAAGTTGGCTCATTTTGCTGCTTAGTTTGTAACCATACACAAAACTCCATGTAGGACAGATTTGACATCCTAGGAGTGTACAGGGCAGCATAGACTAAAATCTAGTCTCTGAAATGAACATATCCTACATAAAAAAAACAGTTGTTCAGTTATCTTAATAAAAATATAATAAAAAGGAGCCCAGTGATCTAGACTTGCCAAACATTATAGACTTGCATGGGCTGTATTTGATATATATTTGTATCAGGGTGTGTAAGACAGACTAAGGGCAGCAGGACTATCACCGATAATGGTGGTTTGTTCACTTCATGTTTCTGATTATAATTTTTTTTTCTGATACAAATAAATTTGAGTTGGTCCCATGACAACTTCATTATAGCTTGTGGGACTTATGCATGTGGTGAAAAGATTCTTCAGTTATATTTGACATTTGCATGGAACTTTTACATTACTCTCTTTTAATGTCATTGTTGAGATCATTTCAGAAATGTAAAGTGTATTTGAAATCATAATTTAGAAGACCATGTCTGTCATTTGTACCTGTGTAAAGTTTGCAGCCCTTTGCTTGTCCTTGTCACGTACTATGTTGTATTCCGGGGTAGAATAGGTCTTCAGCAACCCATGCTTGTCGTAAAAGGCGACTTTGCTTGTCGTAAAAGGCGACTAACGGGATCGGATGGTCAGGCTCGCTGACTTGGTTGATACATGACATCGATCCCAATTGCGTGGCTCGATGCTCATGATGTCAGTCACTGGATTGTCTGGTCCAGACTCGATTATTTTACAGACCGCCGTCATATAGCTGGAATATTGCTGAGTGCGGCGTTAAACAACAAACAAACAAACTAATGTTGTGGTCATCATGCTGCCCAGTCTGCTCTAGTAAGTGGTTATTGACTTGGCTCGTCATCCACGTTTGGGGGGTCACGGATGTCCCTTCATCTAAGATCCGGTGTGCAGAGTTGCATACTGTGGACCCACCAGATACCTGTGATTGTGGGTTCGAATCCCCGTTCACCCTGATTATGTTTCTAGGTTTGTCAGCACCATACCCGTGCTCGTGGGTTTCACCAAAGTGGTAAAAGTCTGAGACCTGCATCACTTCAGGCATTCCCATCACATTTAGCTGACGCACCATGGTATAACTCAAATACTGTTGAAAGTGGCGTTAAGCCCAACTCACTCACTCACTCACTTGCCCCTTATTCATGTTCAGTATGGGTGAAAAGGGAGATTTATAATCCAAATGTAGAATAACCAAGTGTATATAAAATTATAACATTTCTAAGGTGTGCATTGTTATCTGCTCAAAGATGGGGGCACTAGTGGCCATGTGGTCTATAGTGCCACAATTCACTATACAGTTATTTCCATTTGTCATGCAAGGATCTACTGTTTTCCGCAAAATGGTAAACGCCTAACAACCTGGACACTTCGGGCTCTCTTGTAGTGTGAACCTGATACACTGTGATATAACGGAAATATAAACGGAGTATAAACACCCAGCTCGCGCAATGATTTTGGAGATAAACACGATGTGTTTATCTCCATATTACTATGAATAAAATTTGTTTTGAAGGTACTTTATTTGCCGGTCCACAGGGACTGGCAGTAACATGAGTTACCAGTCCAAGACTAATTTTACCGGTAAAAACTGGTAATTGCCGGTAAACAGGAACACTGAAAATGTGGCGCTCTAAAAGCTCAAGCAGTTTGTTTACATCGTAATACTCTACTAGAACTTATGCAGCACAGCAACTTGGTAAGCTATCATGAGGTGGACACCCCAAAAGAAACCTAAGCAAGCTTTTCAAAGGTTTCGCTTTACACCACATCATATCACTCATTGTGAAGCAAAAGATATGACGTCACAGTGGTATATACAAAATCGCAAAATAGTAAGCTCTCTGTTGTCCTCAAAACTTGAAATACATTCTCTTTGTAGATGTCTATTTGTGTTTTCTGCATGATATGTTCTACCACACATCCTTTGAATATTGTAGTAACCCTAACTTTGCATTTTGTAGCCTTTAATTGTACATATAATTATGTAAATATGCTTACCAACAATAACTGTAAAAAGAAGCGCTATAATTCTAAAAATCTTAGCTTCTGCAGTGATGCGGCTGTCAAATCAACTTGGTCAATCAGAGGGGTTTATTGTGATTTGACACCTCCCAATCAGAATCACGAATTTTCCGAATTCATGTTAGAATTGACAGTTAAAGCTGGAGTGTGCTTGATTCAGTTCTTCAATTTGAACACTGAAACAATAAAAGCCAGTGAAATACAGGTATCAGGTAACTCTGTTTAAAATTAATTTTAGATTATTCCCGATTTTCCACCATAACTGGCTACCAAACGGAGGGTGAGTACTGTTGCACACTATAATTCCCTAGCTTGTTGAGCTTGGAGTATGTTGAAATCTCACTGTGCACCCTTCCTGCATCTGCATGGCTTTATTTCATTTTTAAGGGACATTTGGGTAAAAATATAGATATAATGTGATTAATTTGATTTCTTTGGTGTTAAGAATTGGAATATTATTTCATTAAAATAAATATGTTGTTATTGTCAGAGAAATGTAACAAATAATTCACATTGCTGGTTTGGGATGTATTTTGTGTAGCAAGTAAGTGAGTGAGTCAGTTTGATTTTATGCTGCTTTTAGCAATATTACAGCAATATCATGGGGGGGGACACCAGAAATGGGCTTCACACATTTTTTATCATTTCGGGAATCAAACCCGGGTCTTCGGCGTGTCGAGCGAACGCTTTAACCACTAGGCTACCCGACCGCCCTGTAGCAAGTAAGAAATCAGAACATGAAGGAGAGTTCTCATCAAGGACTTCCATTGTAACCCTCCTGCCTGACCTTCCCACACTCCACATCATCATCATGTGACTGTCAGCATCACTACTGCATGTTACATATACACATGATCATTGCTCTTTCCATGCATCATAAGACCACTCTAGTCCTCTCCACTTGAAATAGAATCACGAAATATCCGACCGCGATGATTAATTAACAAAATGACAAAAATTGCAAAGTGTGCTTTTCAAGAAACGTCCATTTAATGAGTGATAAACATTATCATTGAGTTTTGATCATCATGGAGACAATCCAGGTGGAATCAACAGTCAGGCGACAGCGAGTGGTTATGTTTAGCAGCGACCTTGGTCAATAGCACTTTAAATACTACATCTACCCATACTTTTCGTTCAGTTTGTGCTGAGAATGTACGTACTCTGCACACGTTGCTCAACATTGTTGCTCACAGTTAGCTGACTGCCCATCCGTCGTCCGATTGTAACCACGTGATCAAAACTCAGTGATGTTTATCGCAAAGCAAATGGACATTTCTTGAAAAGCGTACTTTGTCATTACGGTAAGTAATATTCCTTATCAGCGGAATGGCTGGTTTTCACTTCATAAGTATCAGCAGACATGCAGTTCTCTTCGTTAATTATTCATCACGATATTCAATGAGTCTGTTTCAAGTGGAGACACCTATAAGTTTGAGGTTAATCCTCCCCTATGAACATTGATAATCCTTGCAGAAGTGTAGTTTCCAACTGTAAATGGTATTTATGGCTTGTTCATATTTATGATAACTGTGAACAGAGTTCAGTTGAGAGGTGATTTTGTGATGTAAACATTAACAATACTGCAATCGCAGACTTTGTAACACTTTTTCTCCAAAATTAAGTGTTGTTGCAACAACAACTAGATTGCTTGTTTATCACAAAAACAAATCATGGTGAGGTTGATTTTTATCAAAATATCTGCCAATGTGTAATTTTATTCAGATTAGCTTTGCAGGCTCCATGATGTCAGATTTTGGTTGAGTATTCTCTCATATATAAAGTCTCGGCACGTCTATTACCAAATCCAGATTTCTATACTATTTTTGTTCAGGTATAAACACATTGGTGTTTATTTATGCCATAAAATGAGAGCCCAGGCTTGCTTGTCTAGAAATACATCTACCAGAAAGTAATGGCTTTGCCTGGTTTCCATGAACAGAAAGAAAGCAGTTGTCTCCCTTTCATCTATCGAGAAAGGTGCCTGTGATGTTTAGCTGCCTAATTGCCTAATTTACCCACGTACTTACGGCACTGTTAGCTTTAGTCTGGAATGTTATCATTTAATACAGGATGGGATTAAGTTTCCTGTTGAAGTGGGTTCAATAATATTTTGAGAAAACTTGAGTTTGAAATGGATCTTTCAGGGTTTGCTATACATGTTTTTGTGAAACGTCTTGACAGAGAGATTCTGACGTGGCATGTTTCTCGTCATAGGGCAAAACTTAATCAGATTTGTCAGCAGGTAGCCATCTGGTTGATAGAGTCGAATTAGGCGGATTAGAATATCAAGGTTAAATAGGTTTCGCCTTGTTATCAGAGGTGGGATGTACATGTCTGATGAATGATGATGACTTCAAAAACTAAATGTAATATTTTTTAAAATTGCGATTGGCTATTAAAAGAAACAACTAGTTGTCATTTTTTAAATGAAAAGAATGAGTAAGTTGTCGAACTTATGGGGAGTTAAACCTTCAGACTTTTCGATGATTGCTATTATTAATATTTAGGAGTGTAACGATAAATAGAACTATCGATGTATTGCTATTGTTGGCCCTGCAGATGTACTATACTACTAGGTTTGTCAGCACCATACCCGTGCTCGTGGGTTTCACCGAAGTGGTAAACGTCTGAGTCTCGATCACTTCGGGCTTTCCTCCCACATTAAGCTGACACGCTGTGATATAACTGGAATACTGTTAAAAGCGGCGTTAAACCCAACTCACTCACTCACTCACTCACTCACTACTATACTACTGACAAAAAATAAGGGAACTGATGAAACGATAGTTAAGGTGTAATGGCGATAAATGTCTGTAAAATAATTACAGGCGTGTTGATCACCATGTTGGGTGATACATGCAGGTCACCTTGATGGCATACTGTTAATTAACGTATCCTTTCTTATGGTTGCCTTAGTCAGGGATTGAACTACCGTATTTTCTTGAGTATAGTGCGCACCCATGTATAATGCGCACCCCCCTCTAGCGGGTTCAATATTTTGGAAAAAAAGAAACTTGAATATTATGCGCAGAAAATTTTTACACCGTACCCTTTCAGCGAAGTCCGGCAAACGAACGGGTGCTGAGAAACTTCGTCAGTACAAATTCGAAATTTGAGATAAAAAATCACCAGACATGTTTATTTACCATTTAAATAGTATTTATTGTTCTGCTAGGCATTGTTTTATATTTAGGGATTAAGATTACCCTGCGTATTTTCTCGTAAACTAAGCTGGAAACAGCAATCAGCTGTACACACGTTTTCTTGGAATCGACCGGTGATTCGGTCAAGACACACCCAATGATATAACTTTATAAGATTTTTAATGCAAGGATCGGCAACAATTGTATCTGAAACTATTTTATTTATCAGGAATAATATATTCCATTATTTTCTTAATTATATGCAACCTTTACTAAATATATTTAAAATAATAATAACCCTAAGCGAAGCAGCTGATCGCTATTCCCGGGTATTATTTTTTACATGGAACATGTCTGACCAGTCACCATCAAGGCTCACGCGCACGTGATCACGTGATCGCGAGAATTTCATGTTGACATAGAATCGTCAAACAAAAACAAATATGACTTTTAACGAGTCAAAGTATGTCATTTATGATATATGTATCCATTCTCTGTCAACTAAAGTTTGTTTCAAGGCGTCAATAGCGGTATTCTGACCGTGGTTGCTGTTAATAACGGTGAGTTGTGCGATCTTTTGATCGCTTCACACACGATTTCGCCGAAATTAATAAAAACAATATTATAAGGAATTTTGAATAAAATCAATGAAATAAGTTACAAACATAAGTCCAGATATACAAAGAACACTTTTTATAGCCAGACAGTGTAATTACATAATTATTTTGTGTAATTACATAATTATTTTGCGTACTTCAGTATGGATTTGTTGACATGGTATTCCCGGTGTTTCGTGCTCACGGTAATGTCTTTCCATGGGGGAAAAAAACATCCAAACTCATAATTCGTGTATAATGCGCACCCCCTTCTACACAGCTGTGTTTTTTCGAAAAAAAGTGCGCACTATACTCAAGAAAATACGGTACTGACCTTCCACTCTCTGGGCAGACACCCTATCTACTGGACCACAGAGACAGTGGTACAGGAGAATAATGGGAGTATTCAGAATGAGAAATACGTCTGGTTCTACTTTTATTTACTCCACAAGAAATAATTTGAAAATTTGATAATAAATGTTAATTACTTTCTGACAAATGACTAATTTTGATTCCACTTATTTGTTTTTAAGAATGAATTGTTTTAAGGATGAAAAGTATGTTTGGTTTGGGACAAAAAAATAATTAGTCAGTTGATGAATCATAGCTGGTATTGGTTTCTTTGATGCCCAACATAAATAGGGTTTAAAATATTCTTCAGAATCTTGCTCAGATCATTTCTGAGAATAAGCTGTACAATGAAGGTGTGTCACTATATGATTGTGTAACCATGGAAACCAAATCCTGATGAGCAAAAAAATATGTAGTTTGGGAATGATTTGTTTTTGATGGCAGCAATGGTTTGTGCAGGTGGGAATCATGTAGATTTGATGTTGGGTGGATGAAGGTTGGGTAGAATTCAGTGTGGGTCCGACTCACCAGGGATTGGGTGAGGCTGATGTTGGGTGGACAGGGGAAGGGGTGATGTGTAAGCTCACTTTAACAGAAGACCAGGGAAAGGAATTCTCTCCAAATTCGTCCCTCATATATTTATATAACACAAATCACAAATATCGATAATTCTTGTGAATCCTCTACCTCCATTACATCTTTCCAATAAATCCGGTATTTTGGCTTTAATCACACTAATTAAAACTTTCAGATTTTCAACAGACGTCCTCTTCACTGTCAATTACACTATAAGATGTTCCCAATATAGCACTATAGCTACCCAAGCTATGACGTGCGTAATGGCGGGAACCTCACTTCTTTCCTGTGTGTGCTAGAGTCAACACCTATTGTTAGAGTTGTAACTATCTAGCACTTGGTTTCGTCACATTAATCTAAGATTATTCTATAAGTTTTCTTAAAACAGACATATTAAGTCTATATTAATAGCTGCTAATTGTAGTGACAATTGTACTCACGTAAGTTTAAGGCTGGCGTGAGGTGTTTGTGAGGTCGCAATGGAGTCTCCGAATTCTGTTTGCTTGTTAGAAGTGTGGCCATTTTATAGTCACGGAAGCTCCTCATAACTACTGCTGGAAGTGCAGAGACCCTAATTGAATGGATGAGGCTAGAAGCGACCAATGCTCCTC